GGTGCTAAAAATGTTATTCGAACAAAATTGTTTGCGAACACAACTCGTTTAACTCATAAAATTTCGACCTCATCTTGTAGTTATAGTTAAACGCTATTTCTGAACGCTTAATGGAATTTGTGTATTAACGGAGTTGGGTCTCTCTTGTTTATTAAATGAGTCAAGTCAAGCTAACTCATTTATTATTGATCAAACACGAGCTTAAACATGAGATACTTTAGTTTGACTCGAGTTGAATATAAAAAAAAAATACTAAAAAATTATATATCTTCTCAAAAGTATTATATAATACTTTTGAGAAGATATATAATTTTTTTATAACATGGGCACACACACACACATAAGACATACAAATTCATTATATATTAAATATGTAAAATAAATAATAAGAATTTTCTACAAAAGATATAACTTATGAATTTTGGTATTTTAAAATTGTGTTTGAGATTATTTTATATCACGTGACTCATTAACAGTAGATTTAATGTGTATAGTTCCTGCGATTATTTTTCGATACCGTGAAATTGCATATCGTGTATGCTATGTTATTTCAATTTTTTTAAGATGTTACATATCTCACGCATTTAATTTAACTGGAACATATAGCATAAAGAAAAAATATCAAATATAATAGATGAAGAGAGAAAATTTACTTATAAAAATATAACTTACCTAAAAATAATTAATAGATGTAGTAATGCAATAATTAGTAATAATTGTAGAGTGTAGATATAAATTGAATATAATTATAATATATATGTGTGTGTGTAGTAAAGGATAAAATTGATAATATGTCTATAAATAAGTGTATATATACATAGTAAAAAGTGAAAAGTTTGGGGGGACAATAGCCCCCCTACACAATATGTGGATCCGTCCCTGCTCCTTTGGACTCGATGAATTTGTTGATTTTATTTCCTGCGCGATTCATTCGTTAATTTCCAGCTCGATATATGAACATACAGTTGTTTGTCTGTGGATAGTTGATGCATTAGTGGCCTTGAAGGCTAGCTTTGACGATCCAAGTGGGATTCTCCAGTCGTGGGATTCAACGCTCGACTCCCCTTGCACATTTTTCCATGTCACCTGCAATTCTAATAACAAAGTCACAAGAGTGTAAGAAATGTTTGTGTTTCCCTTCCAATTTTCTGCTCAACAATGTATCTTATTGTTTTAAGCATATAATAATATTTCCTAATGAATATTCTATTGCCTATTGCCAGTGATCTTTCGAATGCTGGCTTCTCGGCAGATTCATTGCCCCATGAGCTTGGGAACTTGGCGGAATTACAGTATCTGTATGTAATCTTTGTGTTAATTATTTCGGCATCAACATTCATAAGTACTCTACAATATTTCATTTTATCTATAACACATGTGCCTTTGTGTAAAAGCCTGAGGAAAGATTCTATAATAAATTCGTAGTTGCCAGCTGAATGTTACGAGTAGCGCGTTTCTATGGTTACAACATTGATATGTTTTTATGGTGACAGTGAATTGTACGACAATCATATAAGTGGGAACATGTCAGTTGTGCCTTGGCTTAGTCTTACAAATCTAGTGAGCTTGGATCTATACTCCAACAATCTCAGTTGGGTTATTCCAGGCACCTTGGGCAAGCTGTCTAATTTGAAATTCATGTGAGTGCATGATTTTATTCTCCGCAAGCTAGCTGATCACTTACAGATTTATCTATATATATGTGTTTTGCTTATTTATTTGTAATCTCTTAATCCATGATGTGTATATATCGTTGCAAGGATAGACGACTAAATAACAACAACCTAGAAGGCCCTCTATCCCCTGAGTTCAGTGATCTTCAAAATTTGGAACAGTTGGATCTTTCTAATAACAATCTCGGATGGTACATTCCAGACTATTGGGTCAATGGATTCCCGAGTTTGAATAGTCTGTGCGTCATCTTATTCATAATTTAGTCGAATGAGTTTCTATTTATAATTGTTTATCGGTGTTTGGATTAACCAAACTTACACTAACTATTTTCTACTCTTTTTAACTTGCGAGGAGGATATATAGTAAGCTAAACAATAACAACTTAACGGGCAATGTACCTCAAGCATTGGCCGATAAATTTAATGGCCCGAATCATTTACTGTGAGTATATATATATATATATATATATATATATATATATATATATATATCCCTCTATAATATGCATATATGCAATTAATGTATCAACATTCCTAGCAATTTCTTATGTTAAGGTACCATTATTGCTATTATGCAGTGATCTGACTAACAACCCTTACCTGACCGGCCCGTGTACTGATGCGCCATGTCGTTCTAATTCGTGATGTGTTGCAAGATTCAGCACGGTGGCGATGTTGTTACCTGGAGTTACATTTCTATCATATATATTAATACTGCATCTAGAATAAGGTGACTTTTGTCATTACTAGATAGATACTCTACTACTTTTCTTATTTTATATCCCAATTAATGTGAGGCTTTATATGTATGTTTTTAATATTTCCCTTTCACTTGCAATGTACCAGCATTATATATTGAAGTTTCAATGGAACATTATTGAAGTTTTTTAATATTAAATATGGTAAAAACAAACGTAACTGCTGTGTTGTGTTATCACATCACAACATATATTAATAACGTAACTCATAATTTTAACGGTCGTTATTTCTTTTATAATGTAAGAAAGTAGGAAAAATATATGTTCTATATTATTCACAAGACATGTACACATATATATAGGAACATAATGAGCCTAAACCTAATCCCACAAGATATATACAAAATATATTATAACCATATATAAAAAATATATTCTAAAACCCCCCCACCTCTCAAACTCAAGGTGGTGTAGTAGATATCAACTTTAGTTTGCTAATAAGTAAACAAAAGCGACCGTGAAAGAGAGACTTCGTGAAGACATCCGCTATCTGATCCGAAGAGGAGACGGAAACAAGTCGTACAGTCCCATGGGTAACATGCTGGCGAATAAAATGACAATCAATCTCAATATCTTTGGTACGCTCATGAAACGTATCATTATGAGACATCTTGACAGCGCTCTGCCTATCACAATGAAGAGCAATAGAGGATGACTGAGGGACACCAAGATCAGCAAGTAATCGACGCAAGCATAATAGCTCTGCGGTGGAATCAGCAAGAGCACGATACTCAGACTCGGCACTCGAACGGGAAACCAAGGTTTGCTTCTTACTGCGCCAAGAGACAAGTGAATCACCTAAGAAGAAGCAATACCCGGTAGTGGAGCGACGATCAGTAGGATATCCAGCCCAATCTGCATCAGAGTAGCCGCTAAGGGACAAGGAAGAACTGGCCGAGAAATGTAAACCATGCAATAAGGTGCCCTTCACATAGCGAAGGATGTACAACACAACAGAATGATGCGTGGTTCTCGGAGCAGCCATAAACTGACTCACAATATGAACAGCATGAGCTATATCAGGCCGAGTGACAGTCAAATATATCAAACTCCCTACGAGCTGGCGATATAACGTAGGATCCTCAAAAAGAGAACCATCCAATGGAGTAAGACGAATATCATAATCAAGAGGTGTGGAAGCTGTCTGACAATCAGTGAGACCGGCCCGAGCAAGAAGATCAGAGGCATACTTGGCTTGAGACAAATAGAAGCCATCAGAGGAATCATAAATCTCAAGACCCAGAAAATAGCGAAGATGACCCAAACTCTTCATCTCAAAATGCTGTCGAAGATAATTCTGTAAGTCGAAAATTCCCGAAACATCATCCCCTGTGATGATCATATCATCAACATAGAGCAACAAAACAATGATCCCAGATGAAGAGCGCCTAAGAAATAGGGCAGAATCGTGATCACTCGTAGTGAAACCAAACTGAAACAATGCAGAACTGAACGTGGCGTACCAGTCACGAGGCGCTTGTTTCAAGCCATACAATGCTCGGTGCAGACGACAAACCTTCCCAAAGGACAAGAATCCAAGAGGAGGAGTCATGTAAACCTCCTCAGATAATGCACCGTGCAAGAAGGCATTCTTAACATCTAACTGTAAAAGAGACCATCGACGATCTGCAACAACTGCAAGTAAACAGCGTACAGTAGTAAGACGAGAAACCGGTGCAAATATCTCTTCATAATTTATGCCATACTCCTATGAGTACCCCTTAGCAACAAGATGAGCTTTATAGCGCTCAATAGACCCATCTGAATTTGGTTTGATCTTGTAAACCCATTTGCATCTGATGGGTTTCTTGCCAGCAGGTAGATCAACTAGATCCCAAGTATGAGTCTTGTCTAAGGCCTGCAATTCCTCAGCCATAGAGCTTGTTGCCACAATGGATAATATGGCCGAATAACAATGATAATCAAGTAAGTGAGAAGGGGGACGACTTACATGAGTCGACTGTCGCTGATCAATAGCTGGCAAAAGTACAGAACCAGAAGAGGGCTCATTACGAACTATCGGTTCAGGATGCACAGGTAGAGCCACTTCAGAAGACGGAGGCATGACAGGCGTGTCAATGAGCTGAGAGTCAGAACATGTATCTGTATCTGGAAAAAGATCTGAAGTAATAGACATGAATAAAGGAGATGCCGAATCAAACGGAATGTGGAACTTAGACAAGGAGGAAAAAGTAGTATGCTCCCAAAAGGTAACATGACGCGAGATACGCAACCTATTAAAAATCAGATCCCAACACCTAAATCCTTTGTGTTCTACCCCATAACCTTAAAAACAACACAGACGAGCTCGGGTTCTAATTTGGTCCGCTCATCGGAAGAAAGGAGAACAAAACAAGCACAACCAAAAGGACGTAATTGAGTATAATCAGGAGACTGACCATACAACCTTTCAAAAGGACTGACATCCCTAATGACTGATGAGGGTAACTGATTGATAGCATAAACAGCAGTCAAGGCTGCCTCATCCCAAAAATGATCAGGACACTGAGCAGAAAGAAGAAGAGCACGGACAGTATCAAGAATGTGACGGTGCTTACGTTCAGCTCGTCCATTTTGTTGGGAAGTATATGGACACGAACGTTGAACTAAGGTGCCCTGATCATAAAGAAATTTCAAAAAAGTAGAATCTTTGTACTCAAGAGCATTGTCAGTACGCACGACCTTTATAGGACAAGAAAATTGTGTAAGAATCATTTTAGCAAATTGAACATATATGCTGGACAACTCAGAACGATTCTTGAGAAAATAGATCCAGGTAAAACGAGAAAAATTATCAACAAAAATAATAAAATACCGAAAACCACTCAGAGAAGCAACAGGAAAAGGACCCCAAATATCAGAATGTACCAAACCAAAAGGTTTATCTGCAGTTGACAAACTATCAGAAAAAGAAAGAGTCGGTTGTTGCCCAAGTTTGCAATGAAGACAACTAAAAGACTCAAAATGACTTGAATCCAAAAGACCCTTATTATATAAAGAACGAACTTTATTCGAAGACGCATGCCCAAGACGAAGATTCCACTGGAAACTAGACAAAAGCAGAAAAAGTGTAAGAATGAGGGACGTGAAGTGACTCAAGCTCAAATAATCGGCCCATCTTGCGACCTTTCCCGAGAAGCTGTCTCGTCTGTGAATCCTGAACCTGAACACCAGAAGATGAAAATATAACATTAAGACCTTGGTCAACCAATTGACCAACAGAAATAAGATTCAAGGACAAGTCAGGAATGCAGTATGTGTCGGAAAGATGCAAGGAAGGGGAAGAAATCAAACCAGTGTGAGTAACATTCATAAGAGTACCATTAGCAGTATGTATAGGAGGGAAAGAGGTTACGGATTACGAGGAAGACAAAAGCTGAGAGCTAGAGGTCATGTGATTGCAACAGCCAGAATCAATATACCAATGTGATTTACCTCCGATAGCAGACATAGAAGAATTGGAAAGAAGAACCTGTTTGAGAATAGCCTCTATGTCTTGAAGAGTGTAAGACGAATGTTGAGGCTCAGTAGTGACAGCCACTGTAACAGAAGAAGTGGCGGTAGAGGAAGACCCATGATGTCGAGAGAATGAACCTCTCGAACGGTGTGATCTGGCTGGACAATATGTAGCAATATGACCCTGAACATGGCAAATGTGGCATACCACCATAGGACAAAATGGAGCAATATGACCCTGAACATGGCAAATGTTGCAGACCACCATAGAAGAACGACGTTCTTAGCCAGAGAAGTTCGACATGGTCCTGCTCGTAAACTCCTGATCAGTCCTCCAACCTTGACATCATCCGCAGCAGTGGGGATCTCCAAGCAGGTTTGATTATATCGAGCAACATACTTCCGCAGTGACTCCTTTTCCCCTTGCCTCATCGCCATCAAGGTCAAGTATGTCTTCTCCTGGGCCACCGCGCTCGAGTACTGATTTGTCAATTTCTCCGCAAAATCCTCAAAATCTGTGATCGACCCTCCAGGGAGTTGTTGGAACCAGTTGGGAGTGCCTCCCCAGAAGGTCGATAAGAATGCCCTGTAACTAACATGATTAGTATATCCATGCAACACAACTATATTTTCAAATGTTCTTACATGTATCGATGGGTTAGAGGTCCCGTCGAACACCAGACTTGTGTCCCTGAAATTAGCCGGCAAAGGCGCGACCAATATATCCCCAAAAAATAGGTGCCCTCGAGCTCGTGTCTCTGTTCGACCATCCACTTTGACCTGTAATTGACGCAGCTGCTCAGCGATCCTCTCCATCTCTCTGTCATGTGGGGCTCTACCTCTTCCATAGTTGGATACATCCTCCTCGGTATTTTGATGAGAACCCGCCACCGTGGTTGGTGCGGTAGCTGCTCGAGAGAGGCTGTTCGTAACCTGCTGCACGGCCTGCGCATCCGCGTCCGCCAAAATCTGTTGCATCTCTTGCCTAGTCATCACCACTTGTTGATAAGGACGTTGATCCTCTACCCTTGGTGGTGCTACTCCCTGCACCACAGGTCCTGCGGGTTGTACCCTGGCCAGATCTAGTTTCGGCGGTGGTGGCATCACCGCCGCAAGTGCTGCACGAGCCTTCTGGGCCCGACTGGAGCCTGCCTCTCCTCCGAGGACCACCGGTGATACCCCCAAACCCCGAAGAGCAGGCGCAGAGGTGACCGGCGTTTGTGAAGGACGAGAGAAACCCGGTGAAGTTCCACAAAGCAGTCTTGCTCTTAGTGGCATTACTAGAAGAGGCAACAGCTCTACTTGCTTCATTGTTTTTAAGAATAGTATGGTATGCAGAAGAAACAGTGAACTTTCCTTTCTTTCCAAAATGCCATATGAGAGTATCCTTCTTACCCCTAATGGAAACTGGGATCTGCAGAATCATGTCAG